TTTCAATTTTTGCTTTATTCATATAAATGACATAATGCTATGCAGGGCTGGTGGTATCATGGGGTTTGCTATGGCGTGTTCAAATACCTTTGGATTAGTGACGGGTGCCTTTCTTCTTGGTTTTGGTCTGAGCGAAATTCCAAAGAATATATGGAAAACTGCTGATTGGACCCGTCGCCAAAAATTCCTCTATCACAGAATCGCAAATATGGCTGGCAAATTTGATAATGCTCACCAAGAATATTGCCACGCAATAGCTGTATGTACTTTTCCGCATTGTCAAAATATCATTTCAGGATCATATCATTGTGCTAAAGGCTTGTTCCTTTCCTTATTAAAGGTTGTTCAAGCCACCTCGAAACAAATGACCAAGCGTGAGCCTCTAAGGCCTTTTATGGATATCATTGATGATATGCTTGCTCAAATGGTATGGATGCTCAGGTACAACTTGAAGCTGACATTCAAATACTGTGGTTATATATGACAACTGACAATCTTACATCTATCCGATCAGCTGAGAGATGATCCACTGTTCAAGCCTTCTGGTGGAAAATTAGGAGAAGATGATATGGACTATGATACTGATGAAAATACAATGGCCTCACTTCGACGTCAACTTAGGAGAGCCAATGAGGAGTATTATAGGTGTAAAAGGTATTATAGTCTAAACTATTACAAGTTGATAGTACTGGACATGTTGAACTGTGGTTTGAAACAAAAATGGCTGTTCATTTAACTGTTTCTATTTACTGTTTAACTGTGTGTTGTGCTTTTACAGCAAATATACAAGTTACGTTATGGAGGCCCTTGAACTAGAAGACACCATTAAAAACTACGAGCAACGTGATGCAAATGAATGGTGAGCAATTGACTTTGATGTTTTACAAGGAATTTGTTGTCTCAGTTCATGAATTTATTTTTGTATGCAAAATGGTAACTTCATGATAACAAAGTTGTTCTCCATTTTATAATGACAATTAATGTGTTGATACAAATTTCATGAGTGACCTTAGATACATTTGGATGGATGAAAGCAGTTAACAGCATAAATGTGGATACAATTTTTACATTCTCAAAATACCTGCTATATACCCATTTATCAATGGGCTCTACTTCCTTGAATAATCCTAACAAGAATATTTGACTAGATTCTTTTTGAGGGGATATTAGATTACATATGTACTTCTTGGCATTTCAGGTTACTCTGCTTGTCTACAGCAATATTACATATATGAAAATTTTACCCAACCAGTTTTATCAGCATGTTACAAACTGGTTAAGTTATGAAGAATTCTGAAGAGACCATTTTCAACCAGTGTTGAATTTATGTTTGTTTTTTACAGGAAATATGTATCAGGTTTAAGGGAAAGTAGATCTTGCACACTGGGATCCTTCCTTGACTTCATAGGTATTTTCCTCCAATCTAGACTGGAAATGTCTGCTCATATCTCTATTGTACCAAATGAAAAGGTCTCACCAGAGGCTACTATGTGATTGACCATGCTCTTAAACCTACATCTGTCCATCATGTGCTGATGCATATAGATCCATATTTGCTTTGGATATCATTAGCTTAAAGTGGGAAAATACACATGTGGATTATTGTGGGCCCCCATGGCAATGGATCTTATCAAATTTTGGTACTAAAGAGTAAAGTTGCATTTTGATGTACATCCCTTTAGTTAGTTGTATTGACACATAAATAGTTTTGAGTTACTCTTTGGCCAGTCGTTAATTCACGAAACTGACTCACGGACATGTTCGCATTTTCAGAGTTCATTTGGCGTTGTATACTGAAAAAGCAACTCCTGAAGGTTCTTGCTGTAATCCTCGGTTGCATCTCAGCTGCCATACTATTGGCTGAGGCCACTTTACTGCCCAGTGATGTTGATTTATCGCTTTTCTCTGTTCTTACAAATGTTGTAGGAAAGCAAGAAGTTCTAGTCCAGGTAAGTAGTTGGGTAGTTTAAGTTCATTGCTTTGATTTGTTGTCTTTGAAGAAAATAAAAAAAAATGTGCCCTCCACCTTGAAGCCAAATGCCTATGCGATTGAATTGTTTTTTATATGACCACTAATTTCTTATTACTTCGTATTATTTTGTATGTACCAATGCAATTGAATAGTCCATTCTGTAGTAGTGGTGCAAGGTGTTAACTAGAAGGAAGATATTGCACAGTGACTTCAGTTCCATATGTGAATATTCTTTTGTATAAACATAACCTCTTTGCGTGGAATATTTAATGCTGTGGATCTCCCTTCTACTTGCCCATTTACATGACTAATTCTACTTTAATATGTGGACAAACTTTCCTGGAGGCTTGTTGAAACTTGAAAACAATCTATTAAGCTTTCTTTAAAACAGAACTGTTTTTAAAGATCAGATGCTATCTTCAGCTTACTTCCTTTCCAACTTTTCCTAATTAGAATTACCACTTAACAGGTTGTTGCATTTATTCCTTTGATGTACATGTGTATTTGCACATACTATTCGCTCTTCAGGATAGGGATGATGGTGGTATATTCACTGACACCGAGGCAAACTAGTTCAGTTAGCTTGCTTATGATTTGTTCGTAAGTTTTCCAAGTCCCCACCATTTGGCATTATAAGTACATCAATCATAAAAGTAATTTTGCACCTTGAGTAACCTTTACATCGAATGTCCTTTTTGCAGAATGGTTGCAAGATATGCAGCTCCTATTTCTTACAACTTCCTGAATCTCATTCACCTTGGTGGTAATTCTAAAACTACATTTGAGAAGGTAATAATCTATATGCCTTTCCGTATTATTTTAACTTCGTTTTTATGTAATATCCAAATATGTAGATTCAATTCATCCTCCTTTTGAACCATTGTTTTCTCAATTTGGAGGAATAAACAAAAGAAATCATGGATACTGTACACGAACTCTCGAGAATATATGCAGAATGAATTGAGTTTTTACTCATTCTTCTATCAAGGTGCTGAGTGCTAATCATATTTGAAATGGAAATGTTCTGCCCTTTGGTTTTTAAGATTACTGTTTTATGGATAAATAATTCACATCTAACTGATGGATAATTTGTCTGCTCTTCTTTTATACAGAGGATGGGGAACATTGATGATGTCGTTCCCTTCTTTGGAAGAAGCTTCAACAGAATATATCCACTCATTATGGTTGTTTATACACTATTGGTCGCTGGTAATTTCTTTGGGTATGTGCTTGAATTTTTTGGAAGCTGGAAAAGGTTCAGATTCTGGACTGAACAAGAAGAAGATCATACAGATGGGTTCGATCCATCTGGAGTGCTTATTCTGCAGAAAGGTAACATGATGTAACACCGACATATTTTTCTTTCTACTCCATACACTATCTTCCTGCTTGCTCTGATGGGATTTTCAATTTTGTTTTCTTCTATGAGTAACCAGAGGATCCACTAAACTGATAACAACATAAATGTGATCCTGTTTCTAACTTATCAGGTGTTTCCAAATTTACTTAACATTTATACATTCTCGTGAATAATCAGTACTCAACTGCTGGTGTATCACCTAGTCAAAATACTAAAGTTCCCTGCATCGGCATAAGGACTACAAGTCTTCAGAAAAATCAATGCTTAAATTATGTGTTTTCTTAGTCTTGTTTTTTTTAAAAAAAAAAATGTTATTAGCTTGTAGTGACATATTTCAGTTTTTTTTTCCCTGCAGAGAGATGTTGGATTGAACAAGGACATAAAGTCGGTGAGCTGGTTGCTCCATTAGCAAGAAATTTCACTGGTATATACAAAGACGTTGAATCTGGAAATGTGCAACAGGTGTGAATGGATTTGCCTGCGTGATAAGGCCTTTCTGTTATAGTTTTGTTTCTCTTGTTGTTCATGTTTCTCTAGCGTCTGCAGTCTGCTATGACTGTATTTCAGTAAAGAAATGGTCTCACTCTATTTCGTTGTTCCATATGTTCTCCACAGGATGAAGAAACTGCAGGGATGAAAGCAACAACACTTCCATCCAAAAAGGAAGGAAGACTCCAGTCGAAATATGCTAGTAACGTTGCTCTTAAATATTCTTCTATAAGAGAACAAAACAGCAGCCATCAAGCAGTTAAGCAAGCCCAGACAGAAACCCAATCGACCTCTGTTGTGCCTGAAACTGGAAACTCAGAGACACCCTCTTCTGTCAGTAAAGAACCAGATTCATCAGCTGGAATCGCATCGAGATGGACCTTAATGAAGACGGGATTTCAGAACTTCAAAGCAAACATGAGTTCCAAGAAGTTTCTTCCTTTGAGCCTGTCATCAACACAATCGTCTAGTTCAGGGTCGCTTGATGAGATCTTCGAGGGACTTAAACGGCATTCAAGCAATGCAAGTGTGGATTACCTCGACGATGATGACGGCATTTAGTGACATGAATCCAAAGATTCAAAGATCCTAATAGAACGTTAGTAAAGGAGTACAGAATGAAGATGCAGAATGTACAGCAGTTCTTCAAAAAATGGCATAGAATGTAGGCCCTAATAGAATGTATACAAAATTAGCAGGCGTCCTCCCTTTCTAAGAAAAGAGAGGAGGATATAGTATAGCATACAAAGTACTCCTATAGGCTTAAGCGCTGTAGGTGATTTTGGGAAGCTGTAATCATGGAGGTCTGACGTGATGAGCGCTGAGCGGTCCTGTGCGTGCAAGGTCATAGGTTCTCGCCGCGAAGTATAAAAAAGAGCTACCAGATTCGAGAAATAGATACTGGGGCTACTCCGTTCATATTATGTACGGCGAATTTCACCTTATGAGTTATTCGCATACTTTTATTCAGTGTTCTTGTTGAAACATCTGAGAGCTTCATGGGAATGGACAACTCTAAAGGTTCCCAAGAGGAGGCCAAGATGTTTGCCTAGCTGCTGCGGAAGGAATTCTGCCAATTTGCAGAACTGATATATTGCAATTTGTTTTACCAACCGAGTAACCTGCAGAAAGTAACAAACTCGGTTCTACAGCTAGTAGTAATTCGCAAGCATGACAAAAGGCAAAAGAACATCACGAGCTTGATGATTTGATCATGAGTCATGACACGGAAATCACGCAGCCGATTCGAGCCGAGTGCCATTTCTTCCCTCAGATCTTAGATCTATACAAAACGGGACGTTTGCCATTAGGCCGTCCTTTCGGCACCCCCCGCACCCACCACAAGCCACGACCCAAAAAGCGCACCGAAAGATAACGAAACATGCCAGGTGATCAACGTGAGCCCCCCGGATGAACAGCGCACGCGACGCGACGAGAGGCTACCACTACCAACCAAACATCGATCACGCCGCGCTGGCTGGCTCACGCCTGCACGTACTGCATGGTGCTCGCTTCCTCTCGTCGTGCGCGCGGGCACGCGCGCATCAGAACAACGCCGGTGGCCGCTTGGCCGGCGCGGCGGCGGCGGCGGCGGCCTTCTCGCTGACCGCCTTGGAGTGCGCCAGTGAGCACCCGTCGGCCTTCCGGTGCCAGCTCCCGTGATGGAGCTGCTGCTGCAGCCTCGCCCAGAAGCCGCTCCTCCTCGCCGTCTTCTTCTCCTCCTCCGCAGGGGGCACCTCCTTCTTGTCATGACCTGCGGCGCCGAGCACCGTCGCCGCCGTCGCGGTCGTCTCCCTCTGCTCCTCCTGTCGCATCAGCATGCCCAGCCTCGCGCGGCGGCCGACGGGCGGCGCCTGGGTCGCCGACGCGGCGGAGTAACTCCCCTCCCCGGTCGACGAGCACAGCGAGGAGGAGGATCCCGACGACGACGCCGACGACGGCGACGGCGAGGCAGCGCTGGCGACCTCGGCGGAGAGGCGCGAGAGGCGGTCGCGCAGGCAGAACGGGCACACCCCCGCCGCGTGCCGGTGCTTCGGGTGCCTCCTGCACCGCGCCGCGTCCGCCTCCTTCGACTTCCCCACGGCTGCCATGGCTGGCAACTAACGTACAGTCGTACACTACGTAGAGGAGGAGTGGAACACACGCGCGCGTGTCGTTGATAGCGCTTTGCCCGTGCGGGTGCGTGACCGCGTGGTGCCGCATATATACCGCTCGGGTGCGTGCGCCGCGCGCGCGCGCGGTGGAAGTTTCGCGGATGCTGCGCTGCCGAGGCAGCTGATGAGATGAGGTGGTGGAGTGAGTCGGCGCATGCACCGGTGTGGTTGTTGTTGGTTCGGTTGGATCATTTCGGGGTGATGGGGCCGGCAGGTGTGTGTTGTGGTGTGCGAGTGGTTGCATGATTTAACCGGTCGAGAGAACGACGCACTGGAGGTGGCTGATTGATTTGGGCATACTCCGTACGTGGTTAGTAGGTATTTTGCGCTATACATTTATCGCCATTTGCAATGTAGGACATAAGTTTATCTTCTGTTTGAGCTGTTTTTGTTGTGTTCATGTATGCACCAATTCCAAATAATGGAGCATTTTATATTACAGAAACGAATACCGTGCGTTCTTTTTTAAGTAGTAGTACGTGTTTACTCTCTTGTTTACAATACAAATATGTCCTCTACGTGCAACTGGCTACACATGCGGAATAATGTTTGAACATACTAGACGGGAGACGGCACACTTGACAGTTGACACCGTGTCACGCTCACGCCACACCTCGATCGCTAGCTCACGGTCATCCGTCAGTGCCGGCGTGCTAACAATATTGCTCGCCACCTAAGAGCAAGTTCAGTAGTATAGCCAATTATTAGCTCCAATTCATCTATAGCCAATCTAATAGCTTATTCATACAATAGTTACATACTACACTATTAATATCTGGTCCCACTTGTCATGCACACACTGTATCTTAAAGTCCGTGTTACAGCTGGCTACAAATCTGTAGCCCGCTGCTCTTCTCTCTCCTCATTTATCTTCTTAAAATATGTTTGCAGCTGGCTTATAGCCTGCTATTGTACCTGCTCTAAACCCATGGATGTCGAGCGAGGAGGAAATGAGCTGAGGCCTTCTTATGCAAAAACTTTTTACTCTATCACATTAAATATTTAGACACATGCATAGAGTTCTAAATATAAAAAAAAACTAATTACACAGATTACGTGTAAATTATGAGACGAATCTTTTAAGTCTAATTGCGCCATGATTTGACAATGTGGTGCTACAGTAAATATTTGTTAATGACGAATTACTTAGACTTAATAATTTTGTCTCGCAGTTTTCAGGCGGAATATGTAATTTGTTTTGTTATTAGTCTATATTTAATATATCAAATATGCGTCTGTATATTCGATATGATAAGTAAAAATTTTTGGTTCTGAACTAAACAGGCCATGAACAGATCAACAGAAGAAAAAAGATGGTCCCGTACACGAACCTTGCGCTGTATTCAAGACGAAGCTCACGATCTGATATGCTGAGGTCGAGGACCTACTAGTAGAGTTAGAGCTGAAAGCCGGTTAGAAAAATGAGTTCAGCCGGCGGATCATTGTCAAGTCCGATGAACGTGTGCGTGCCGTGCACAAACTACTCCCACGCACAGGCCTCCGCACCCACCTCCGTGCACGCCACGCCGCAGCGTGCGTGCGTGCGTGCGACCTCGGGAGACCAGGCGACGCCGCGCCCCCTCGCGTACGGTGTCCCCTTGCGCCGAGACCGCCTCCGCCCGCGCCGGCGTGCGCTCCCACGCGCGGTAGTTTGCCACACGCGCGCGCTCCGTCTCGCGTCCGCTGGTCCATCGGCTGCCGCAGTTCGCGCGCACGCCCGACCCGAGTACCTACTGTACTAGTCGTACCTTTTGTTCAACTTCTCGGTCGTTGACGACCGCGCGCGCGGCGGCAACACTGTGGTGGGGCACCTGCATGCGCTGCGCCGCTGCTCGCGCCGTGGCAGGACAGGAGCCGGCAATCCTCGCTGCCACGGGCGCTTTCCCATCGCTTTTGTGTCTCCCTGTCCGGTGTGCATATGCAGGGCTCGGTCGCCCGCCGCTGGTCGCGCGTCCCGCTGGCGCAGTGGCGCTGCGGCCTGGAGTCTGCAGCAGCCAGCAGGGGAGGGGAAATGACGAGGCCTCCACATGACACATCACTGATCCACAGGGCACATCTCAAGTTCTCAACTGATTGTGCGGAAAGTGGGGTGCTTTGCAAGGGCGCGCGTGTATTCGTATTCGCTGGAGCGCGCGAGCGAGCACGTTCGCACTTCACATGTGACAAAGGTGATTAGCAAAGTGATGGTTGTTAGATTGTCCGCGCGTTTTTGTCTCAAGAATCTTACTGGTTTGGGTTTGATAGCACGTAGTATGCGCGGTAGGCGCCTCGTCGAGCTCGAGCATGCTTCATGCTGGCTCAGGTCAAATGGCCGCCAACCGGCAAAACCAGTGGCACATCTTGTGGACTTGTGGTTTTACCAACGAGGAGCTTCCAGGTAGTAATCTCTATTGTAGCTGGAAGTGCTACAAAGACCAGCTTGCTATTATCCACTAATAATGTTACTTTGCAACGGACCAGCCCATGTAGGGATTGATTAGATGGCTGGATTGAGGATAAAACCCCGAAAGCACGAGCTAAACCTATAATTAGGGATTGACTGTGTGTCGGTAGATTGATAATGAAGCAGTGGATAAAGCAGTGACCGTTCGATAATAAAGCAGTGGATCTTGTGATGGAGGTGGACTGGTTGTCACATGAGAAAGCACACGACCTCCACGATGGAGATGGAGGCACAAGAGCAAAGATAATAGTGAGCTATAATAAAATAAAAATTAAAGGTGTTATCTTTTACGTAAGAGCCAACTTAACACAAACTTCAAGATAAATATATTAGATGTATAAGAGCAAGGCTAATAATACAGCCAGCTGCTAATAGTATAAATCTTTATAGCCTTAGCTCACTCATATTGGTTAGCTCTTCACTATAAATATATAGTCCACATGTCTATCTTACATATTTTCTTGGTTCCTGTGCTTAAGTCGGCTATGAGCTTACAACCCATTTCCCATCTCTCTCATCTCCTCTCTCATCCACTTAAGCATTCAGCCTCTTACAACCCTTTATCATACTTGCTCTAAGAGAGATAGAGAGATGAGAAGAGCCAATCTTATAGCTAATTTATTATATATGTTGGCTTTAAAATGGGCTAATTGTAGGAAGTGAGTTATACTATTATCCTGCTCTACTATGAAAACAGACAACTTCGTTTTTAAAGTGGCTGAGAAATAACAAACACTGGTTTACCCGGTGAAAATAAAGCAAAATGTTACTGTTAGTCTGCTACCAACAACAGACAGGCACATTTCTTCTGAGTTTTCAGAAGAAAAAGAACGGGGGCAACTTTTATATGGGCCACATTTTTCGAGAGGCCTAACGGGCTCAATATAGTGGGCTTTAGCTTTCTAGACCAAGAACCGGCCCAATTTAATCTCCACCCAAATTCCCCCAAATCGAGGCCACCACCACCACCGTGACCTCGCGTCAGTCAGTCCCGTCAGCCGTCGTCACCGCCTTGTGTCCTCTCCGCGGCCAGCTTTTCTCCGCCCTTTCCTGCCCGTACGGCCACCATACGCGGCCCAAACCGCCGCCCAAATGCCGCCGCCGGCGGAGGAGTTCGCCGTCGACGACCTCGACGAGTTCGAGAGTCGCCTAGACAGTTTCCTCAACCGCTTCCACGCCGACGACCTCCGCCGCATCCTCCTCCCCTTCCCGGACGGCAAGCTCCATTTCCCCCTCGTCATCGAGTGAGTCCTCGTCCTCCTCCCCAGCTGCCGCCGTTCTCTCCCCCCTCCAAACCCTAACCCCGTCTCCCCTCCCTCTCGCAGCTTCGCGGAGCTCCTGGAGTTCGACCCCGAGGTCGCCCACCAACTCTACGACTACCCCAAGGACGTGCTCGAGCTGTTCGACGCCGCCGCGCAACGCGCCCTCGACAAATTCGATGCCGCCGCTCGACGAGCTGACAAGGTTAGTAGTCCAGGCGGCCGTACGACCTGCACCTGCTTGTTCCCCCCATTTTTTTTTTCTCAGAGACTCTTGATTCTCAGAGGAAGGCGGGCGACGAGACAATGGAGAAGAAGTTCGTGCACGTGCGCGTCAACACCTCGGGGTCGGCACTCGAATGCCCTGGTGAGCGCACGCATGCGACACCTGTGTTCGGCGTAATGCCCGTGTAGTTTTTTTTGGTGTTTTTGGGCAGTTGCTTACGGGCTATCGTGATTTGGTGGTAATGGTGGTGTTCGGCAGAAGCGTCCCCGAGCATTGGGAAGGTGAGGGTGAAGCACAGGGGAACTCTGCTCACTTTGAAGGGGACCGTGATCAGGTCCGGTGGCGTGAAGATGATCGAAGGCGAGAGGAAGTATCAGTGCAGGAAATGCAAGTGCAGGTTTGTTATGCATGTCTCAGGGCTTTATACCAGTATTAGTTGAAGACTGAAGCTTTTGCTTCTTCTATTAGAACCAGTGGGCTTGTGAAGTTGTGATGTATATATCCCTGGCTCTGGCTTGCATATTAATTCTGCGGTTTAGATGGTGCTCACCGCTCAGTGGTCTACTGACAGAGCTGGTTTGGCAGAACCATAGAAAGCTTTTCTAAAGCAAAAGTTAACAGATTGTTTTTAGTACTTCCACAGTTCCACTCGTGCTCGCAAAGTGGCAGGATTGTCATTGTGTATTTGTGTTATACATTACTTGTAACACTGGCCTATTTGGGTTCCTAAGCTTGTAAGCCAAAAGCTGGGAAGTAAAATTAAGTATCTACGCAAGTGGGGTTAAGATTCTCTTGAAATTACTTGGAAAAACATTTTTCTAGATAACGACTTGAAAAAAAATGCATGAGGATTTAACTTCTTGAAAGCAGTAGATTTTGAAGAATCGGGAGGGGATTCAAAGATCAGAGCAATTTCGTGATTGCCTTAATATGAACATAATATTGCATTTTGTGCTACCTTAAGACATGATGACCTCAATACTTTTTACAAGGTTTGTGTTGATTAGCATGCTCATATATGTTCGTGCTAGACTCTAGCCATACTGAACCTTTGACTTCTTTGGTATCTTGAACAGGTTTACGGTTCATCCTGAGCTTGAGGCTGGGAATCGTATAACTCTTCCTGCATCTTGCAAATCCAAGGTATTTCATGTCCTTGGCATTATTTTTCTCGTTCTACCTATAACGGTTCACCTGTGGTTAACACATCTGGTTATCACATTTTATATATTGTTATTTCTATATTTGTAATTGCTTGAACTTCTGCTACTACTATGAAGTTGCTCTTGCTAATTTTGCTATTGATCCAGAGTGCAAAAGGTTGTGGAGGTGCCAATTTCCAATTGATAGAAGATAGCATAACCTGCCATGATTACCAAGAAATAAAAATCCAAGAAAATATACAGCTTCTAGGTGTTGGGTCTATACCCCGTTCGATGCCTATAATTTTGATGGATGATCTTGTTGATATTGTTAAAGCTGGGGGTAAGCAACCTTTTCATATTCATGCATTTACGTAATTCTGTGGAACTAATAGTTGTCCTTTTTTGTTCTTTTATGTCTTAGTGGATAACATCCTGGATTCTTTAACATATGGAATTCATAGACTGCGTTCTAGTGAGCTTTAAATATTTCAAAATTGCATTGTATTTATATGAGTAGCTTAACCAGATAATTGAGAGTATACATGAGCAAATTGCGGACCTGAACTGGCTGTGGTTTGGTCCAATTCCTCTTGAGCTGAAGTCTGAATCACCAAGGCCTGAGCCTGGAGTCCTGGTCCACCAAACCAGTTGGCCCTGCCACCCTGGTGAACCAGGCTGCAAGAATAAAATTTAAGCCAGCTTGATCTCGTGTTTGGCCGAAAAATGGATTTTGTTGTGTTTCTTTTGTGTAATCATCAATTGTCGGTTTAGCATATTTTGCTGTGATAGTCACCTTATCTGTTCTTCAGATGATGTTGTTGTTACGGGTCGATTATCTGCAAAATGGTCTCCTGACATCAAGGATGTACGTTCAAACCTTGATCCTATGCTAATTGCCAATTTTGTGAGGTAACTGATAACTTATACTGAGGGTGTTCTCCAAATATTAGTTCTCTAATTTTAATCTTCCAAATTATGATTCTTTGAACATATTTAGAGTATGCAATGAACCAGGTATAGTTTCTTCTCTTCTTAGCATATTTTATTGCATAGTGTTCTTCTTACGAACCTGAAGGGACACATTATACTTCTGAAGATCTATCACAGTAATACCAGCAATAATGTGCCATTCTTAGTGTATTTCATTACATAGTGTTGTTTTAACGAACCTGCAGGGGCTCATTTAAGCTTCTCCAAATCTATCACAGTAATAATACCAGCAATGGCTTTGGCACATAATTGCCGATCCAGAAAGTACATGGAATGGCTTTTGGTGTTTATTAGTTAAATGATGAAAAACTAAAAAAGACATTTAGGAAACATGCAGTTTATGACAACAGAGTAGTATTGTCTGGTCTCATTACTCATATGAAGGAAAGGCTTCCCATACACTGTACTTTCACTCTACTAGTTTATTGCGTTGTAGTTTTTCTTATTTTTCATTTTATTGCCTGCCAAGGTAGTTGGATGCAACCATAGTTGGGCATATTTTTAGCACTTTAGTATTTTAATTTTAGCGCCTTTTCTGTTCCTTGGTTTCAAGTTCAAAGATATCAGCTAGTCTTGCCTTCTGTGCATTATGAATGTCTATGTACTGCACTCAACAGGAGAACCAATGAACTGAAGTCTGATCTAGACATACCTGTTGAAATTATCAACAAGTTTGAGGAATTCTGGGCAGCTTCCAGAGCTACTCCACTGAAAGGTGCTTATGTTCCAATGTCAGCTTATTTTCCTTTTGTTGCTGTCTAGATCTTGGCCTGAATCCTGTGAGCTAATATTGAAGCAATTACAATGTACTACATTGTCTTATTGACTTACATTTGACCAAAAACCCTGATCCTGTTCCCAAATGTAATACTCCCTCCATTCCAAATTGATCATCATATAATATTTTTAAGAATATTCTAAAATGATCATCATATTTGTGTTCATTCATTAAGTTTATTTGTTATTTGTGCATTGAAGTAAATGAACATTGATGCATGCATCCATGCACAAAGTGTTTTGATTTGCTATTGGCTAAAAAATAGTGGAGAATGTGCATGCATCGAGTTTGTTGTCAGAGTAAATGTAGTATGAGATAGTTATTATATTTTCTTGGTCTTAATGCACCCATGTAATATGATCAATTTGGAATGGAGGAAGTATTAGGAAGCTTTCTACCTTTTATTTAATGCATTATTGCACTGTAAATTGTGCATTGACTTACATTTGAACTATGGACCCTGATCCTGTTCCCAAATATAATATTAGGAAGCTTTCTACCTTTTATTTAATGCATTATTGCACTGTAAACTGTGCATTCTTTTGTTCTTTTGGGTACACAGGAAGAAATTCCATCTTGAAAGGCATTTGTCCTCAAATTTATGGGTTATTCACAGTGAAGCTTGCAGGTACAGAACTATTTGCCAGTATTCTAAATCATTGCGAGTAATTCACTTGTGTTTAGCTTTCTCTGAAAATCCAGTTGGAGATTGTTTCTGAAAAGCTATTTAACTCTTTTTTGGAGTATCTATAACAACTGCTATAGTTGGTATTGTTTCATGATCTGTTTAATTTTCAGTTGCTCTTACCTTAATTGGCGGGGTGCAGCATGTTGATGCTTCAGGAACAAAGGTTCGTGGAGAACCACATATGCTTCTTGTCGGTGATCCAGGTACTAATATCCATAACATTTGTTATATACTTAAATCAAAACCATCCTTTCTGTACATAAGTTGAACTAGTGTTTAACCTTTTTCCAGAAAACAACATATTCAGTTAATATGCTTTCACTGTAATAGCTACACAGTGGACTACCGATTACCGCTAGGCTAGCTTAGTCCATATCTTCGGCCAGACCTTCTCTAAGCTCCTGGAAAACTAGCTTGACCCATAGCTGGACGCCATCATCTAGCTTGTCCGTACATGGACTCAATCCTCTCCTGCTGAAGCACCTGCGTGAAAAAGTGCATCCAAGATGATTTCCTGTATACCAAAATGTTACTCGTGCACTGCACAAATTCCAACACTGCCTCTTGTATATGGCAGAAATGTTCAATTCAGTCCAGTGGGGATAGATACAACAACTAGGCTTAGGGCCAAAGTGGAGAGAATAGATATCCATCCTTTTTGGTTCATCAACCTCGAACGTGCTGCTCAATGATGTTCCAGGGAGCAATTTCACTATCAAAGAGGGGTTGGGAAAGGGGGTCCTCTGTCCCAATGCATTTTACCTTGGTAATTGACCCGTTACAAGAAATCCTACAGCACCACACAGAAAGGCATCCTCTACCCTATCCTATCAAGAACAGACTGAACGAAACATCGCTATAGGTAGGTCCAAGCTACTATTCAGTGTGTTCTAGAATGTTTGCTCAATCCACTGGACTGGTGACAGACTTAAAGAAAAGGTTAGGCATATTCATTTAGACTAGAACTAACTTGTAGTCAGATTTATGCATCTATATTTGAAAAAAAAAAGAAGTAGAGTAGGTCAGCTTGACCAGCCCCACTTGCATCTTCCTTCCCAGGGACGCACAAATAACTTCTTTTGGATTCATAAAAGTACAGAACTACTGCTTGACATCCACAAGCTTCATAAAGTGCATTTGGTGTTCCTAATAGAGACACTACAAACAGACTATATGAAATATATATTATCTCTAACTGAATTGTGTTCTATTAAATTTTAGGCACTGGCAAATCCCAGTTTCTGAAATTTGCTGCTAAATTGAGCAACCGTTCAGTGATCACAACTGGTCTTGGAAGCACCAGTGCTGGTTTAACTGTCACAGCAGTCAAGGATGGAGGTACCTATGTTTCACATCTCCATTCTCTGGCAGCATTATATATCGTGTTTTGTATTTCCTCGATTTCAAAATCTGAAACTAGTAAATGATTTTTCATAGCAAGTTTCTTGCATAATAACTGAAACGCCATTTTTATATTTGATAATAGGGGAGTGGATGCTTGAGGCTGGCGCTCTTGTTCTTGCTGATGGAGGGTTATGCTGCATAGATGAATTTGATAGGTTTGTTCAACATTGTCAAACACTCGATGACCAATCTGCTAGTAATGCAATAGTTGCCTCTTCTCTTGTTTATATGAGTTAATGTTCAAGGTACTAGACGCCAGGTGGTTGGCAGGGCTAGCACTTATTGCATTCCTAGGGGGCAACTAGGACCAATTTGATCATGATTTCCCAAGCAATTAACAAGCATATGACATAAAAGAAAGACAATATAACATTATAACATCACTAGAGCATCTAAGGCAGGGAGCCGTCCAATGCACCGCCAAATGCCAAATCACAGTTGGCTACCTGACTCCTAGCTCCGCTTTTTAGAACACTGACTGGAATTAACAGAGTCAGCTTCCTGATCTAAATGAGAAGTGGCCTGATGTTATTAAAATACTGAAAATTACATTTTAGGTTCTGAACGGTGCAATTCTGGACAAGAACAATATGACACTTGCCTTACTTCAGGCTCAGTCTGAACAGGGGACTTGATAATATACCCTGCATTTCTTATCACCAATAATTTGATAATAACAACGAGTTATTCCTTGGCTTATTTTGTTGAAACTAATGTACTAGAACACCAAAGCACAAATAAACCATGGGTTTCTGCAGATCACTCATCAGAATATTCACCAATAACTTGATTGGCACCTAGCAGATCATCCAATTGTCTGCGCTCCTTCCACCATTTTCCCATGCTTCTTGCCTTACCCTCATTTCTAGAATTTATTCGCTGGTGCTACATAATGCTCATCACGAACCTGAATTCCTCTTCCATGCTCCCAATATTTCACAGTTTTCATGGCATAATTCTAACTTTAGGTGACCCGGCACCCCAACCAACCAACCAACCACCACCCACCCATGTGCCTGCTTGTTTTGCTACAAACACAATAATCATCTTCAGATAATATGCTTATACACCTAAATTATTTACATGCCATATTCATCATAAATGATAGTTTCATCCGATTGGGTTGAGCTCAGAACTTTTTAAAAGCCATGATACATATTATGTGGCTACATACAACTTTTCACCTTTTCCTAAAACCAATGCATAGATTGTTGTGAAAATACAAGTATTTTAGAGCTCTATAACATCTGAGTAGCATTTCTCGTTGTAGTATGCGAGAGCATGACAGGACAACAATACATGAAGCCATGGAGCAACAAACAATAAGCATTGCAAAGGTATCTGGCCTCTTTGATTTAAACAATTATTACCATTTAGTGAACTGTGGCACCCATTAACTACTGCACTTTGATTCAGCGTCATTTCTTCTTTATTACAGGCTGGATTAGTGACAACACTCAACACAAGGACTACAGTGTTTGGTGCCACTAACCCAAAAGGACAATACGATCCAAATGAATGTACTGCACTTGCACATCAAGCTCTTATGTCGCTTTGCTACTTAACCAAAACTGTGCCAGACCACATAGTATTCAAGGCATATTTACTTGCACATTCTACTACACCAATGTGTAGTTTGATACTATGGTGCCATTATATGCCTCTAAGCTGTTCTAATTATCCTTTGCAGTGATCTTATCCATCCTGACCGTTATATTTCTTCCTTTTCTTTTCAGCCTTATCTGTGAATACAACACTTTCAGGACCACTGTTGAGTAGATTTGATATAGTTCTTGTTCTCTTGGATACAAAAAACAAAAAATGGGATAAAATAGTTTCATCTCATATATTAGCTGAGGTATTTTCATTGTTTTTGATGTTTGACATTATCTTTTGTTTGGTTTCTTGAACAAGCTGCACTATGGGTGTGCAAACAACTTAGCATAGCATTCTAAAACAAACTTTTAAAAATTGTGCAGAACACTGAAGAAAAGAAAGGCAAGACAAGTGATCCGGAAGTAATGTGGACACTGTCCATGTTGAGAAGGTGAGACAATTGATTCCAAAAAGTAATGTCGATGACCTCCATGCTGAGAAGATAGAAAGTTGTTTTTAATGTTATGTTGATATCAGGATATGTTTACCTCCCATGTCATGATAAGGTTGAGCTTAGAGACCTGTGGTACGCTATATGCCAATATTGAATGCATGCAATTCATTATTTTTGTTCAACACTTAGAAATTGTTTTGTTGGCTTCAGCAAATGTTACTTCCGCAGACCATAACATAATAATAAGTAGCTAAAAGTTCCAATTGTAGTTGGCTGGATAGCACTGAGAATTTTTATTATATTTCTTTGTCAATACTAAACAATGACGCTTCAATCTTTTATAATTCCAGGTATATTCACTATGTGAAGCAGCATTTCAAACCTGTGCTGACCAAGGAGGCTGAAAGAGTTATCTCTAGTTATTATCAGCGTCAGCGACAATCAGGAACTCGGAACGCAGGTTAGCCGGACTTGTTTTTGTTTCTTGAAGTATTTTGCAGCCTCTCAAAAATAAGTTTTGTGCAGCAAGGACGACTGTGCGCATGCTTGAGAGTTTGATAAGGCTAGCACAAGGTATGCTTTGTAATCTACACTGGATCACTCACCTTCTCATGCCCATCTTGTCTCAATTCTTTTACACTTTATCTTGTCTTTTCTGCTGTAGCACATGCAAGACTAATGTTCAGAAATGATGTTACGAAACTTGATGCTATCGCTGCCATATTATGCATTGAATCCTCCATGACAACATCTGCAATAGTAGATACTGCTGGGAATGCTCTGCACTCGAATTTTACAGAGAACCCTGACCAGGAATGTATCCTGAAATGTGATTCCATAGCTTACTTATCCAAGAATATCAAATATTTAACTGATGAAATCTCGAACTGATAATTTTTACTGTAGTGCCACGTATATGGATGTTCTTGCCTATGTCTCTGGTATGGCCTTTTGATTCGGGCAAGCAAAGGTGATCTGTTGTTCCTATAAACGTTAACACTACAGTACTTTCCACTTCATGCAGCTGATTGGCTCATTCTGACGTGAAATATTTTCTTATGGAAATGCACCTTTAAAGTATAGATTCTGTAAACTGATAGGCAGCTTTCTCCACTCCTTTTGTTTGTCTTGACATATTATAGATATTGAACAGGAGAAGAAAATCCTTACGCAATTGGGAGTTAGCGAAGACTCCCCATTGTTATAAAATATCATTACCAATATGAAGATTTACAAGCAAACGTGGCTTATATACCATGCTGCACAATGAATCAAGTGATATGCCAAGGTGATAACCACTCTTGCTTGGGACATTTAACTATTATGGTCGTCTTGTTCTTATAATTATAAGTGAGTGGTAATGGGGAATATGGGATAAACATTGCAGGGAATATGTGATTTGCACTAGATTACTACGGTCAGTTTGGCTCTACCAGGTAACGGTATTGGAAATTGTAACTTGTTGTTTTAGATCAATGTACTGGAACTTGAAGGTCTGAAATAGCAACTACTCCCTCCGTCCCATAATATAAGGGATTTTAATTTTTTGCTTGCACTGTTTGACCATTCGTCTTATTCAAAAAATTTTGGAATTATTATTTATTTTATTTGTGACTTACTTTATTATCCAAAGTACTTTAAGCACAACTTTTCGTTTTTTATATTTGTACAAATTTTTTGAATAAGACGAGTGGTCAAACAATGCAAGCAAAAAGTCAAAATCCCTTATATTATGAGACGGAGGGAGTAAAAAGGTTCTCTACTTTATATTATGGCAAATTATATTATAGACTTTTCATTGTCACTCACTCTTGACATTTCCTTTTGGTTGCAAGGCACGCCAAGTAGGGTTATTTTGCTGTAAGTTTTTTTTTTTGTCATCACAGCAAAGGACATTTGCAGTTCACACACCGCACCATATGCACCTAGATCATAACCAGATTGGAATGAATCCCAACATACACAGGTGAGGCTAAAAATCCATGACATAGATAGGACAACAAATTAACAGGAAGTCAATTCAAACACAGCATCCAACTACTGCCAGCTCACCACAACAAAAGCACCAGTTCCCTCTGTGAAAAGAAACCTCAACTCACTTCCTGAACAAACACTTGACACGGTGTGTGTCGATGTCTAAATGACATGCAACCTAACAGCACTGCCTCCACCCTGGCCTTGGCCCTAGAAGAGGCCCAGTTGCACGGCGGCAAGTCCTGCCAGGCCCAGCATAGCCCATGACCTGGCCCTGAGCCCAGCTGCACCGGCGGACTGCTTGGCGGGCGGCGCGAGCACCGTTGCTGGGGTTGTGGGCGTCAGACCGGAGCTTGTGCCAGGGGACGCCGGTGTCGCTGGTGTCGTAGATGGAGTCGTCGGTGTGGTGGACGGGGCTTTTGGGGCTGGGGCTGGAGAGGCCGCGGCAACGTCCACGACGAGCTTCATGCCGTTGCTGCAGTGGCCGGCGATGCCGCAGATGAAGTAGTGCTTGCCGGCGGTCTTGAGGGTGACGGTGGTCGTGCCGCTGCTGTCGCTCTGGAGCGCGTTGCTAGCGGTGCACGCAGCGTAGTCCGCTGCGCTCACCTCATCCACCGAGTGCGCCCCACCGGCGTAGTTGAACACTGGAGAAAAGTAAAAGTTGCTTAGAAATGCATTTGCAAGGCAGCATATATAGCAGGTGAACTGGTGAAGTGCAGCAAGTTTTGATATGCATTTTGGTACTAGGAAGCATCAATATTCAATATCAATGCACATGTTTTACTTCTTTTTTTTTCAGTTTCTGATGCAAGTCATGTTTACTAGTTCTTTTTTTTCTCTAGTATGATGCCGATGCACATTTTAGTTAACTCTGTTAGTGGCTTGTTTAGTAAGAAATCTATCAGATTAACTGATCTCTCCTGGCAAGCACATGATCAAAAACAATGTGCAGCACTTGGACAAACAAGTGAGAACCTGAACACAAGAATGTTAAAAGTAACGCAGAGGCTTGGTTACATGGCGCTCACCGAGGGTATCGCCCATTTTGAATTTCTTGTCGCTGGCCCAGGTGGTGTAATCCGCCCCCATCGCCCAGCCGGACGTGTCGCCGACGGTGTACTTGGTCGCCGCCGCCGCCACCACGGCGCAGCTCACGAGGAGCAGAGCTACCAGGGCCAGCGACGAAGCCATTGCAGCAGCCAGAATCAAACCAAGAAAGGGAATTGGCAATGTGTGAGTTTGTGTTGCTCTGTTGAGATGCAATGCAGAGAGGATTGCAAGCTAGGGCCCTTATATGCATGAAACTGACGAGGTGACGAGATGAGTGAGTACAACGTCGCAGCAGCTCTTCAGCTGAGAGAGTTGGTGAAGTGGCTTTCGTTGGAGTTGGTTGGGAGCAGGAACCGGTCCATGCCTTGCAAAACGCATTGCTTTCAACAGGTACTTCTCCCAAAGTCTCAATAGTAGACAGAAATTGCCTTAGAAATGACTCTACTCTAGCTGTTCGGTTCATTTTCTTTTTGCCAAATACCTTTTGGAAAAGAACAGTTTCTTCATGGTCATAAAGCTCTAGTTAGTTTGCGGCTGAAGCTTGCTGCTTTGATGCCTTTTCAGCTGCAACATCTTTCTCATGAATCATGATGCACACACGTCGCATGATATTCTTGCAACGAAGCAGAGAAAGATGAGGAACACATTAATTCAACTGGTAGCTTGGCAATGTCACCAGACTGGCCATTAATTTGTTCTACCAACATTGTCTTCCTTTTAGACCCCATAAGGACATTTTCCCCTTATAAAAATAGTAAGCAGAGTATTTCTATGCTTGCTTAATCCCTGATTAGAATCAGCAATTTGCAAATCTTAGCCGCCATGAAAAAGCCACGCGAATAATTGGTGATCCGATCATCAACTTTGGGGGCAGAGTAACAGGTGATCTATAGCCGTAGCAGCTGGACGCCTGAACTAAATAGCAATATATGTTTGGTGACTAGCCATCTCGTACTGTCATATGGGTCAAAGCGAGGATTTTGCCAAGAGATTTGATGAGAGATTGCAACGGCTTCTGGTTACCGGTGAAGCAATTGATTTCTGGTTATCGGTGAAAGCAATCTTACTTGCTGATCCAGTAGTTCTCGAGTCATTTATGTGCAAGAGCGACTTGCAACCAGAAAATTTTCCAGATAATGCAACGAGATGGTCCGGACCCTGTCCCGAAGGCAAATGGAAGTTTTGGTGGTTGTGTGCAGGATTCATCTACAGGAGGTCCAAAAGATTAAGGAACAAGCTAGCTATCAATTCCCGGAGGTCAATCTCTAATCCGGTTGGTGAATGGTGATCACGTACCTAACATAAAAAGATTAGTCTCGCTTTAGGGTTTGGTAGACAAAGGGCAGTTCTGTTGTTAATCTTGTTTCGTTTGTCAAAGGAGCATATGCTGTTCTGTTCTTGTAGTCCCTCAGGTAGGAAGCTTCAGGCTTCAGTTACTACTTTGCTTATTTCCAGTGAAATTCTCTGTGCAGAACAGTAGAAAGATGAGCACAAACCCGGGTTCAGACTTCAGAAGTGTTCCAGTAGTCCAGCCTTCTACACTACTGCCATGGATCTATCAGTCCATGACAAGATCAATATTTAGTTTGTTGTTTGCAGCACAGGAGATTGCATCCAAACAATGAAGCATCATCAGTTGTATGGGTCATTTCTTTTCTTCAACTCTAAACTTTGAACTAGCTTATTTTTTTTTCAAACTGTTAAATGGTAATTTTTTAAAGAAAATCTATATAGGAGTTGTTTAAAAAAATCAAATTAATCTATTTTTCAAGTTTAAAATAGTCAATATTTAATTAATCATATGCTAATGAGTTTTCTCGTTTCGCGTGCACGAAAAATCTCCCTGCAACCTATGCATTTTTGTAAATGTTTATGGGCCCGTCTATATATAAACGTTTCGTTTATATAGGAGTTGCTTATGGGCCTGTCTATTTTTTTTGGAATAAGTTCACTTTAGATCCCTTAATTTGTCGCCCAATCTGATTTTCATCCACCGTCCAGAAAACCGGATACAATGCATCCTTCAACTTACAAAACCGTGCAGAAGAGGTCCCTCATTAGTATTGTGCCTGGTTTTGGATGACGTGGCGCCTACATGGCTTCCTTTGACTAGGTCCTCGTCCCACGTGACATTGATGTGACGCTTAAGTGGCAATTGGATCCCGGAAAAATAATAAAAACCGTTGGACGCATATGTCAGCTTACACATAAAAAAAAATTAAAAAGGTGGGACCCATGTGGTCCCACATGTCAGCCTCCCTCTTCTCTCTTTCCCCTACATTGCAAGGGAGAAGGGGACGGGCGGAGCAGAGGGGGGGTGGGGGAGGGGTTGAAGCGGAGCTGCGACGGGCGATGGGTGGAGCAAGGCGGCGGCGAGTGGAGCGGTGGCAGGCGAGCTCATGGAAGCTGCCTTCCCTACCTGCGCCTTCTCCTCCTCCGTCGCCGCTGCTGGTGGTAGTTGCGTCGTCTCGATGCGGCTCGGCCTCCTCCTCCTTTCCTCCGTCGCGGGAACGCCGCAGCTTCCTCTTTTCCTCCGCTTCCACCCGTCGCCCCTCTTATCCGCCCGCCACCTGCTGTCGCTCAACACACCGCCTGTCGCCGCTCCGCTTTGCCCTGTAGCCACTCCGCCTGTCTCCCCCTCTGCTCCACCTGCCGCCCCTCTGCGCCGCTCGCCGTTGCTCCGTCCACCGCCTGCGGCCGTTTCGCCCGTCCCCTTCTCCTTGCAGTGTAGGAGAGAGAGAGAGGAGGGATAGAGAGAAGAGGGAGGCTAACATGTGGGACCACATGGGCCCCACCTTTTTTTATTAGTTTTGTGAGTAGCTTACATATGGGTCCCATGGTTTTTATTATTTTTCCGGGATCCGATTGCCACATAAGCGCCACGTCACTGCCACATGGGACGAGGACCTAGTCAAAGGGAGCCATGTAGGTGCCACGTCATCTAAAACCAATGCTGCCGAGGGACCTCTTCTGCGCGGTTCTGTAAGTTGAGGGATGCGCTGTATCCGGTTTTTTAGACCGAGGATGAAAATCAGACTACGCGGCAAATTGAGAAACCTAAAGTGAACTTATTCCCTATTTTTAGCATCATCAGATGTACGGGCTGTTTGTGGCTCATATTTCTTGATTTAAGCATATGATAAATCGGGTGAACTCTGTCTGGCAGGGTGTTACATATTCCATTTCCCTGCTTTAAAAGAGCGCATTTTGTTTGTCATATCCAGTTAATTATAACCTTTGATTTGGTGGATAGTTTTTTTCTTGAACGCGCAAAAAGATTACACGTCAATATATTAGAAGAATAGAATGTTTGTTATACGACGCAATCAGTCAGACCGACTTATGCCAAGAAAGGGGAGAAAAAAAAGACTAAAATAAAGAAGAGACGAAAGACTACTGTGACGGCTACACACAACTCCAAATAGCTGGGAGGGGGCAGAGCCACTACCTTCCCAGGAGAACCCCAAAATTAGCGATACCAGCTAAAGACCAAAGGTGGCCCTCAGAGAGGATGGACTCAAGGACCTCCGAGACCGATGACAATGCAGAGTCGAAAACTCTGGAGTTCCGCTCTTTCCACAGTTGCCAAGAGACTAGGAAGACCATAGAATCGAAACTGGCCCGGAGATGCCCCGGCAAGCAAACCCTAGAAGAAGGCCACCAATCTTGGAGACAGCTACCCCCGGGAGGAGAGAGGGCAGTCCAACCAAGAGGCGACAGCACACGGAGCCAAACTTACCGAGCGAACACGGAATCGAGGAGAATGTGGTTCGCTGTCTCAAGCGAACACGCAATGAGGATTTGGTGGATAGTAGCGATGGGACAAGGTATTTCCACACTAGAATAGTAGGAAACTTTCGATTTTTCAACCGTCGGATTTGTTTTGAGATGCATACTAGGGGGAAAAGAAAAAAATTCACGTAGAAATGGGGGCAAGGGGAATCAAACTCACAGCATGCTGCTTGCGACTGCGGAAGCTACTGCTAGGGGAAATGATTAACACTACCGCTAGGCCAGCTCACAGTTTAATCATATACTTCCTCATCCGGTACTTATATTATTATATTATAGGGTAGAGGAAGTATTTATAATTTATATACAAGTTACACGGTAAGTAATTGCACTAATGATATTATCTAATGACACTATAGTTGCATTTGAAAGTTTTTCTCCTTAAAAAAATGTCAAATGTTATATAGCTACTCCTTTTCCACACACCACGACTTGATTGATATGGCTTGTTCAATTAATTTGTTGCCAAAACAAACTATACCAAAATTTGGTAATATAATTTTGTTAGTGCAACAAACTCAACGAGACTTTACCATTGTAACATTGTCAATTTGTACCAAAATTTAATAAATCCAATAATTTTTATTCACAAAACTATATCAAAATTTAGTAAGGTGTCAAAGCCAAACAACACCTCTACATCTTGACCTTGACAAAAATTTGGTAGTGCAAAATCTTGGCTTTACCAAAAAAATTTGAAAATGTTTATTTTGGCAATAAACTGAACATGCCCATATTGTTTTTTAATGTCACAACATTTGAAACCTAAATTCATCTAGCATGGTAGGCCTGATGCCAAATTAAGGATGACTTTTTTTCTCCCTTTTTTATGGTAGGCATTTGTACACCACAAATTCTTATGTGACAATTTGGTTTCATAGCTAATTTTCCTTAAGGTTATATTTTTGTTGACCAAATTTTTTTAACCTACTCATCGCAAAGTTAATCATGAATCAAGCATGTTTAGGTTAGGTTTAGGGAACACTAACCCTCTGTCATTTAAGGATCAGGCATACATTCTCACACCACTGGAGATGGATTAATCGGTACGGTTACCTTGCAAGCTACGCTGACTCCAACTACAGCTCATCCCCTTCTTCCCTCTCACAACTTTCCCTCACTTGTGACAATGGGGAGATAAAGGTCCAGCGGCAGTTGATGGTAGACGATTTTTCTTCCTTTAAGATTAGACACTTTGTAGATACAGTCTGGATGGAAGAGGTGTCTGTAGTGCAAAATTGCTACACCTTCACTCATATGCAATCTAGATGGAAGATATTCCTGTAGTGCAGAACTGCTACCTCATCTCTAGCGGTGCACTCAGGGATTCATCTGCTACACCTTCACTCAGTGTGGATGCACGCTTCGTGGATGCGTGGGCCTGTTCACTTTGATGTCATTTTCAACCTTAACAAATTTTAGTAAAGTTGCCAAAAAAGTGGCTATATTTAATTTGCTGCCAAATTTTGGTAGCTATATAAAAAATCCTACCAAAATTTTGACAGGCAACTATACCAAAATTTTGATAATGACAAAATTTGGTAAGGTTTTTTTTAGCATTAAAGTGAACAGACCTATAATCTGGATGGAAGATGTGTCCGTAGTGCAAAATTGCTACCTCATCCGCAATGTGTTGTACTCAATTCTTCTGTACATGCAGAAGGATGTTCGTAGTGCAAAACGGCTACCACGTCTGCAATGTGTTGTGATCAAATGATGCATATGTAACGATGCACTATGATGCGTAGCAGGTTTGCATACCAACATCCTCACGTATGTCATCGATCCTCTTTAATTAGTGGGTATGTAGCAACGGGTAAATGTAAAGATCGTATGCGATATAGCGCCAAAGTTGTCACATGAGAAAGACCACCATGACTATCACCATATTACCACCTATGATCCTAATGATAGAAATAAATACATGAGATTGTGTGAAGTGAACACGCCAAGGTGTTTAACCATCCAGTAAATTATATTTATGGTATATATATCAATGTTAAATTTTATAAGAGATTGTGTGACGTAATATGCGGTAGCGCTAATCTACGCGCTACACGCGGAATATTAGTTCGAGCGCCGCACAACGCTCCCTCCTTCTAGTTTTTCCCTTTTTTACCACCGTACCTTTACTCCACATCCCACATTTCCTCAGTTCATTTTTTTTTGTTTTTTACCACCACACCTTCCGTGTTTCTTTTTTCTCTTTTCCATCTTATCCGTGCTTTATCAAAGGATCCGTTAAAATATTAACCATCTAGATTTTTCCCTTTTTCTTTCCTTCTCTCTAGTTTTTCTGTTTTCGCGTTTTAGTAAAATATTTACCGTTTAGTTTTTCTTTCCGAGTTTTATTTTTTTCTAGTGTCTCCCCACGTTTCAAAAGTAACGAATTTACTCCTATACTCGCATGAATGCCCTTTCAAAAGTAACAAATTTACTTGTATGAATGCCTCCACATCGTACGACACCATTCCTAGATGGTTATAAAATAATTACTACCAACTTACAACGCTAGCAATTCTTTTACTGGTGTTATAAATATTGTCTAGATTTCGTGGTCTACGAGTAAAACAATTGCTACCTTCCTCTCGATATAGCCCATGATCTCATAGCCACCGTGTAATAATATGTTTAGTGATGTGTTCAATACATAGCATAAGAGTAAAAACTAAGACTTAATGGTCTGTGAGTAAAACAATTACCACATTCATCTTGATATAGCCCATGATCTCGTAGCCACTATGTAGTAATATGTTTACTGATGTATTCAATACACAGTAATAGTATTGTTAATCTATATCACAAAATGGTTGTACGAATGAAAAAATTATAGGCTCAATCACACATAAGTGATAAAAATTACCCACAAGTGAATCAAACTAGAAAAGAAAAAAAAATGATTCAGCCAAAAATCCATCGTGAAACTAGGATCCTGGT